ACAGGCTTTAGAAGCATAATAAACACGTTTTTCAACTTTTTACCTCTCTTGCTCCCACAAAAAGTGGCTGCTGAGATGGCAGCCATTTTGAAAAGGCTGAACTCCTGTTGCGAATGACAGACCCCAACATGATCCATCACTGGAAACACCAGGATTTCCTCTACATGGCGCACCTGTGGGCTGCACCACAGAACAGGATTTCAGGTAGCTAACTTTTAGTTAAACTCTGGCTTGCTCCTACAACCTACTCTACACCGCAAACCTGCTCAGGAGCATTTTAAGTTGAAGTTAACTGCACTGATCGCAAATAGAGCCAGCCTCCTGTCCAGTCAGACAGCTAGGAATTATGATGCAGTCACCATTCTTTGAGGACTCCGTTGGAACTCAGAGATCATACTGTTAAAGGTTCTTTGCGGAATGTGCGAGATTTCAAAGACAGACAGAAGCCTTTAGCGCTCAGTGATACACATTTATATAAATGATACAGATTCTCTAGAGAAGGATTTTTTTTATCTGTGTAAGATCCTTGAGCCTTATATCGCAAATGCCACCCTCAGAAGTCATGTGCTGACTAACACAAAGTGTGCACAGAAAAAAAAATTTAAAAACCCACACAAACCTTTATTTGTACAAATCCTTTTTCAGGGACCTTGTCTTTTCTGCAAAGAAAAAAGCTACATTAAGACAGTAATATTATTTGAGTACTATGTGACAGAATGTTTCACATTTCAAAATAGCAGCACTATACATTTTTTTCATACATCAACTGTTCAATTTACAATTTTATTTTTTGGTCTGTAGAAGCTTGTACCGTATGTCAAGCTCAAGGGTTCTTTTATACAGCGCTCTTACAGTGTCAGTACTCACTAGTGGGAGATGTTACAATTTGTTCTCAAATACAGATTAGTAAATTACTGACTTACCCCTGAGGTCACCCTAGCACACCTGCATGTGGAGGTCCCAGGTTCGGAATCCTCTGACTGTATATTCTGTGTATTAAGCATGGAAAAGTTATGTTAGCCATATTTTTAAACACTGGTGGCATTATGTTTTGGCTGCACATATTAGAATTTCAAGGCCTCTTAAAACATACAGAAATAGTCTCTTACTCGTGGTCATAATCATCATCATTAACAACAGCAGGATCATCCTGGACACCAAATAAATAGAAAAACTAAAATCTGTACAAAATTGGCTACAATCTCACTGTATTGCACATGTATGAGTCACTGTAGCTCAGTACACAACAGTTATGTGTAATGCTGCCTGGCTCCAAAAGTCTTATGAAGTGGCCCTGAACTGTGAACCAAGAGGAAATTATTAGGCACATTATGCTCCTGATGTTATCATCCACATGTTAGTCCGCATGTACTAACATTATACCAAAGGCTTGCAGATGCTGGAGCCACCTGTATCAGATGAGGTACCCCCAAGTTATGCCCTCCATTAAAGGGGGGCCCTGATTGTTGCTTAAGGCCATTTCTTCTGCTACGGTGTATTCAGGGGCCGCCGCTAGTTTTTCTTTTTTAAATTTTTTTTTCTGTTAGCTGTAAGAAGTATGAGAGCACATTGCCATAGACTGCCTAGGACTATTTAGATTCCATTTGCAATTATTATGACAATTAACAGTTAGTTCTTTGCATTTTCATTTACAGTTTTTTAGGTGCACTATGAAGCACATTGAACTTTTAGTTGTTTATACACACGCATTTACACGCTCAGCTATTTTTTTGCCAAGTAGCAACCATATTGCTTTTTGTGGTAATTACAGATTTAAAATCTTGAAAGGACGATATAATTATGGCTTGCTCTTGTGCTGAGGAATATACAGCTCTAGTCTGCTACATCTTCAGCTTTTCCAACAAACATCTGAGCCAGGGTGAGCTCAGCCCTTTTTAAAATGTATGCCCTGATGAAAAAAAACCTGGGTCAACTTAACGAGTTGTTAACCCATGTCCTGATACCAATTAAGCCAGCTTGTGAATGTTTAGTTAAGTGAAAGTGGCTGTCATGCAGAAATAAAAAAGTGAGTCTCCTCACCAGCCCCTCTTCTTGCTCGTCCCATGTGAAAACTTAAAAGAAACAACTTTCTGTTGTTGGGCCAGTGTGACGGCCGCCGTAGGCAAGTTGGCTTCCTATTCGGCAGCTTATTGTTCGAATTTTCCCGTTCCACCTTAAAAGGTGCAGTAGGTATCATAACGCCTGAGGCGCCATAATGTAGCTGCTGCACCGCTTAAGGTGGAAGGAGAAAATTTCAATAAAAAGCTGGCTTAAACTTTGTAGCTGTAAACTTTGTTTTTACTATTTTACCCAATAAAATATTTTAGATTTATTCCAGTTGTTAAATACGGTTCTTAAAAGTGAACGAACATACAAAATAACACGCCATTGTTAATCTACAAAAAGTATACTTAAGCAACCAAAATGTTTTTATTTGAAGAAATATGTATAAATGTGGTCTGTTAACACCAGAACCACAGACCTAGTTATTTAGCAACTGTTCTTGTACCCTTTGGTTCCTTGAGTGGACAGAAAATATCTGTTATTTTCTCTCTTATTCCGAACATAAATGGGGGAGAGGGATTCCAGAAAGGCAACCGCGTGAGCTAACCGACGTCTACCGTTGTAGCTAACTTACTGTTCGTTGATTTAAGTACCTTAAATATTTCAGCTCAAACTAAACCTTTCCTTTCACAAGGCATTTTATACATTCCTTTGCTTACGCTTCTTTCAAGTAATCATAAAACAGCTGAACATATATAAAAATGTCCTTTTGTTAGCTAGCTAGCGAGCTAAGCTAGCAGGTTGGACAGCCGTTAACGTCAAGGTTTCTAGTTTAGCTAGCTAATTTTACCGTTTGCTCATCTTCAGTTGAGTCCAGGCGAAGCGATGAAGCCAGCTGACAAAAATCTGTCATTATCATCCAACCATTCTCAGTTAGGTTAGCCATTTTAGACAGATTCTCTCTACACACGGATGAAGTGGTCTCTAAGTTAGTCGCCTCTCTCGAGCTGTGTGACGGTAGAGGGCGCTATTTCGCAATTACTGTTTCGCACGAGCGCTTTACGCAGACTACGTAAGCGACGCCAACGCGCTTTGGTTTCTCCTTCTGCCGCGTTCAGCGAGCCCAGCCATGATAAATGTACATTTTATATTGTCTGTAATTACATAACTGTGTGAATGTTTCATTACAAATTCTTCACACATTACGATAGACATTAGTTAGGTTTTTGCTCGATTTTCCCGTTTCACTTTAAATGGTGCAGCATTCACGTTCTGAACTGCTGCGCAATTTAAGGTGGAACGGGAAAATTCGAACAAGCAGCCGGCGAAAAAGAAGCTGACTTCAGCTTCATGGAGGATTGAAAGGCCTGATATGAGGAGGTTTCTCTGTTTCCGCCTAACAGCTGAGTAACATTAACTTATTTTTGCTGTTTCACAGAACCGACAGGTCAGTATTTTGTCTCGTTTGCTAATGTTTGTGATGGGTAGTCACAGCTGCTGCACCATTTGAGGTGGAACAGGAACATTTAAATACGAAGCTGCGAAAAAGAAGCTAAATTCAGCCTCGTAGTTTTAACACGGGTAGTATTTTTGATAAGGAGTTTTAGCCTATCACAATATCCTACATGGAGGTTTTATTTACGGGTATACTTGTGAATAAGCGCTACAGTAGAACATTTCGATAAGGTAGCACAGCTCGTCAGAGCACCGCCACAGCCCGCCAGTTTCGTGTAGCTTAGTGACATCAAATTGATGCCCAGTAGCTTTAGCTCGCATGTAGCAATATTAGTATTATAGCTCTTTCACGACCAAGTAATTCAGAGGATCCAGTGGTATCCAGGAGAAAAATATACACAGGGCAAAACGTATCGGGTCCTTAACATTTTAATTTAACACAGGGGGCGATAGAGGCGATCTTTCGAAAAACCCTATTCATTCCGGCCATAGAGAAATGGAGCTCAGACCCGGGGTTCCTAATATGGGCATAACGAGGACTACAGAATGACGCACGACTACAGTGGTCTATAGAAGGCTAACAGTCGGTGACGTCACAGTGAGGAGGAGCTCTGGCGATGACGTCACAATAGAGGATGGCGGCATATAAATAGAACAGACAGCTGATCAGCAGTTCAGAAGGAGTAGGAGCTGCTACAGGTAAGCTGAGGTCCAGTTCCTCTGATTCTGATTAGGAATGTAGGGTTCAATATGGAGTTAATTTTGTGCCAAAGGTTCTAATTAAATAATAAAAGACAGAAAAAAATATTAAGCAACAATAGAGATATCAGCAAAATCAACAAATAGAAAAATTAAAGCAAAAACTGGAAAAATGAGCAATAAGTTTTTATCAGAATGAGAGAAAATGAGCAGTAATCTTTCAGAAAAATTAAGTTTGATTGGATTGTTTGTAAAATATTTTAGACATTTTGATATTTAATATTTTTCTTGTTGATTTTATTACTTTATCTGAAATTTTTGGCACAAAATTAACTCCAGAGGTTTATCAAACAATAGAGTTTAACACTGAACTAAATTTCAATTATTTTTATTGAGAGCTTTTATATTTTCATTTCCTCAGCTGTGAATAATTCAGGATCAGCCAGAAATGAGTTTAAAACGAATTAATATTATTATAATAATATATGTATTAATATTATACATTTGTAATAATAATAATAAATAATAATAATAATAATAATAAAATCTGTTAATGTTTTTAAATAATGTCTAATACAATTTGGTTTATATTATTATAAAATTTTTAATTTAAACATTAATTTTAACAGTCACTTTTTTGACACTATAAGGTTCACAAATATAATTTTATTTAATAACTGTAATAACAGTGAAAACAATGACATTATGTAACTGTATATTTAGATAAGTATGTTTTTGTGCCTATAATTATTCTATATTAATAAATGTTTAATCATGATTTGATCCCTAGAAATGTCAGGAAAGCGTACAAATGCGCAGAACCAACCAGGAACCAAAACCACTGTGGAGGAAACAGCTGGGAAGCCCCCACAGGACCCCCCTCCTCCACAGAAGCTGAAATGCTTCCAGGACATCCTGGACATCATTCACAGTCTGAGTGATGAGTATGTTTCTTCTCTGCTCTTCAGTTTTATTCTTTGTTATGATTATGAGAATATGATTCATTAGTTAATGAATTCATCTGATTGATTTCTTTATTATTTAATGCAATAATGTAATAATCTGTTTAATGTGTTGTAGGGAATGGAGAGCTCTGACGAACGATGTGCCGCAAGCAGTAAGTACTGAAAATATAATGACTCATGCACTTTTAAAAAGGAATCTTGTTCATGTTTAGTTTGTCAGATGCTGCAAAATGAAAATATAAATCCTGAAACATGTTGTTGATTAATGCTTCATTGATTCATTAAACAGAGATCAAAAGTGGAGTTTGCGTCGTTGTGCACAAACATTGTGCTCTCTGTGGGAAAATCAGCTGTGAAGAGTTTCCTGCCGACTCTCATTCACACTCTGGGCATAGAAGCAGTTCTCACTGCAGAAGAGCAGCTGAAGAAGAAAGCCCAGTCTGAGTCCAGGAGCCCCTCTGGCCAGTCGACCACACCCACCAAGCCTGCAGCCTCATCACACAACTCAGATAGAAGGTGAGCTTTTTAAAAAAAACAGGCAGTTTAAATAAATCATGTATAATAATAAGTATCCAGTAATGTAATAACAGTTTACATTAAAACTACACAAGTGTGTTATTGTCATATTAAACATGTGCAAACAGATAATTTAACATATTTAGAAATAAGTTATTTAACTGATTTAATGACATTTATTTAACAAATTCAAAAGTGTAAGAAAGAAAAAAGATGGTTCTTTAAGGGTTCTTTAGTAAAGAAAATGCTTCTATATAGAACCGTGAACACTCACAGAACCTTTCCATGATTAAATGGTTCTTTGCATTGTAAGAGTTTTTCAGATTGATGGAGAATGTGCTGTAGATCATTCTTTTTGGAAAGGGTTCTTGATAGCACCTAAAAGCGTTCTGCTGTTGTTTCAATATCATGCTTCACACTTAAAAAGATGGTTCTTCAAGAGTTCTTTAGTAAAGAAAATGGTTCTATATAGAACCACGAAAAGTCAAAGAACCATGATTAAAGGGTTTGTTGCATCAGGAAAGTGTTCTTCAGAATGATGGCGAATGTGCTGTAGATGGTTCTGTATAGAACCTTTTTGAAAAGGGTTCTATACAGAACCTGAAAAGAGTTCTGCTATTGTTTCAATGTCAGGCTTTACACATAAAAAAGATGGCTCTTCACGGGTTCTTCAGTAAAGAAAATGGTTCTATATAGAACCATGAAGACTCAAAGAACCATTTGCATGATTTAAGGGTTCTTTGTGTTGTAAAAAGGTTCTTCAGATTAATGGAGAATGTGTTGTATGTGGTTCTATATGACATCAGAAAGTTTGACATTGTCACAAAAGAAAAACTATTTTTGGTGCAATATAGGACCATTTTAAAAAGGTTCTATATAGTACCATCTTCAGCACTTTCTACATCAATCTTTCACAAGAATGCAAAGAACCCTTTCACAATGCAGAGAACACTTTAATCATGAAGAGGGTACTCTATATGGAACCACTTTCTTTACTAAAAACCCTAGAAGAACCATCTTGTGTAAGTGTGAATCTTGATATTGGAACCATAGCAGAACTCTTTTAGGTGCTATACAGAACCTTTATCAAAAATATTCTATACAGAACAATCTACAGCACATTCTCCATCAATCTGAAGAACTCCTTTATGACGCCAGGTAGCATTTAATCATGGATAGGGTTCTTTTTGTGTTCATGGTTCTACATAGGACCATTTTCTTTACTAAAGAACCCTTAAAAACACTCTTTTTTAAGAGTGTATGTTACAAACATTTGTCTATTGTCCCATTTCTGACACAACCTCTACAAAAAGTACAAACTTCATAAAATCTTAACTTCAGACTTTTCAGACGGCAGCTGTTCTGTGATACTGACTATTTTCTTTTGTTCTTGTTTCTCATTTTTCAAACAAGATCTACTGTGGAACCGTCCATCTGCACCATGATTGAAGATTTTATCAGTGAGGTAAAGGTGGCGATGCAGGAAGCAATCTGCAAGCTCGCCTCCTGTAAAGCACTGTCATTTTCTGAGAGCTGGAAACCAAAACACAGTCCAATGGCTGAGGAAATGACCAACGTCCTATCAGAGCTATTTAAGAAGTCTGAGCGTGAGGACGCTCCTTCAACTGGACGAGAAATGCACAAAGCAAAACAGGAGACTGAACATGACATCACAGATGTTACCGGTAAAATCATTGTGGTCGTTCTTGATCTTATGGATGGCGGCAGTGTTAGAAAAGCTGATCTTAGAACCAGTGATCTGCTGAACGCTGCAGCTGAAAAGATCAAACACATCATCTCAAATTCAGACAACAGTATCAACAAGAGGACACTGCTTGAGGAAAACAAGAGGCAAAATGCTGAGGCCACCAGAGCCGTGAGTCAAGTACTTCTCAGTACTGGAGTTTGGGAAGTGAACAGCGGCTCCCCTGAGATGCCCAGCAGCCTCGCCAGCGAAGCAGATCTGGACTCTGTGTTGGACGCGATGGCTCAGTCAGGATTCCCAACTGAGATGATCAGAGGTCATCTCGAAAGCACATCCAGGGAAATTGTGGACACTATTGTAGAGAACATGGACATGCTCTCCTGCCACAGCAAGGAAAGAAGCAAGTCTGGATTTCCTTCAGTCATTACCAACATCTTCCAGACAATCAATGAGAAGGTGAAGAAGTTCTTTCAAGTGTCCAAACAAGCTGTGAAAGAAAGCAGCGCAGAGCTTCTGTCAGATGATGATCTTTGTCTAACAAAGCAAACTGATGTGGATTCATGCACAGACGAGGTCATTCACAACATTGTGGACTCACTTAAGAAGGAGGTACCACTTGACAAATCTGGCTCACCTGAAGAATGTGAAGCCAGCCCATCAAGTGACCAGAACAATGATAGTATTATTGATATACAAAACCAACATGAAGTCAGCAGCTCTCACTCCGCTCCAGGCCTCAAAGTGCCTGAAGGCAACGTACTCACAGCCAAGTCTGAGAGATTTCTTACCAAAGCCACTCAGGTGGTGAGTGACCTTCTTGTCAGGAGTGATCGATGCTCATCCTCAGCTTCAACAGTATCATCCAAAGATTTACAAGATGCTGCTGTTAACATCGCAGGAACAGTTGTTGAAGCCTTGGACAAACTTGTAGAGTCAAGCGTGATTGACAGCAAAAGTGACTCTGAAACAATAATAAGGTCACTTGAAGCGTCCGCACATACCCTGAACAGATCTGACATTTCGGAGGGGAGGGTTCCTTCAACCTCCTTTAACTTGTTCAGAAGGGTGCATGGCTATCTTCAGGCTCTTTTCACAAATATGAAACGTGAAGACCAAACAGCTGCTTCCATTCAGGATGCTCCAGTTTCTGATCTGCAGCTTTCTAGAGATCACAGTGTTTCCCAGTTGGATGATCTCACAATAACATGCACAAACGGTATTATTGGTGAGATTGTCCAGCTTTATCACTCAGCTGAATCCTCTGAGAGCCACGTACCAGCTGGAAATGAAGAGTCCAAGGCAATCTATGGAATTGTTCAAGGTTTGGAAGAACTTGTGAGAGCAAGCAGTTCAGAGAGTGCTTCATCAGGCAGAGATCTAGAAGAGCGTAAGGACACGTCGTTCTCTAACTTAGACTCTGCCCTCAAAGTAGATTCTGTGCCTAATTCCATTCGTTCTGCTGAGAGTCTTTTCAGTGATCAGTTCAGAGGTAAAGCAGCACAAACTGTCAAAGACATCCTTCTAAAAACAGGGGGAGACTTTTCCACCTCAGTGTCCACACAGTCATGTGAGGCTTTCAGTACAACTGATTTCCAGCCGTGCATTACTGAGAGCCCATCTGCTGCAGCCTCTTCTTTGTCCATCAAAGCTGGTTCAACAGCTTCAGATATTATGGAAATGTTTTTGAACCGTCTACAGAAGTATTGTTTATCATCTCCACTGCAAAAGAATTTCCTCTCTGCTTCTCGCAGCGTCTACAGAGGAGTGCAGAAGAAGGTTTTTGAATTTTTCCTGGGGCTCCGAGAGTCATTCTCAGCAAAAGTTGAGCCCAAAAAAGGGGCAGAGCTTGAATCAGTAACATCTCCGAGGTTCAAGGTTGATCTTGATTCTTGTGCAGATGAGGTTATTGTCAAAATTGTGGAGTTGTATAAGAGCGAGCTCCTTCTGCCAAAACCAAGCTCATCTACTTTGCCTCAAATCAGCCATTCTATGAGTTTACACTCAACTTTTCCATGTGATCATGGCATTCATGAGGAAGACAAGGTCAACAAGATCTGCAGCTCTATCTCCAGACAAACTTCAGTCAGAATGATAACTGTTAAACCTAAAGGGGTCATGAATGAGGCTGTTCAGGAAGTGAGTCATATCTCACTCAAGAGAGCTGCCTCAAAGATTGCATGGGATGAACCCAGCCAGTGTTCTTTGAATTCTACCCGAGGAACGTCTGCTACACCTGTCTTATCTGAAAGCTCAACAGATTCAGACAATGCTGCTCCTGCGACTGCAGATACAGTTGTTGACGCCGTAGACAAATTTATTGACCAATGTTCTTTGGATTCCACTAGAGGAACTTCCACTACACCTGTCCTCACCTCAACAGATTTAGAGAGTGCTGCTGTTAGAATTGCAGAAACAGTTGTTCATGCTTTAGACTCTGGCTCTCAGATTGAAAGCATTCCTCTTTCTTCTGATATGAGTGATGTGAAATCTTCAAAAAGTGAAATTACTGCAAGTAGAATCACACAAAAGCCTCCTCAGAATGACACCCAACTATATGAAACTCAGTATGTGTGGAATGAGGCCCAAGTCTGCCTTGATTCATGCACAGATGAGATCATCTCTAAAATTGTGGACTTGTACTGCAGTGAATTCTCAGACATTCTTTCAGAAGAGAGTGTCCAGAAACTCACATCTGACTCCTTCCATGTTATGTCCAAACATTTAGTACATGATGTTCTTTTAAAATGTATAGAACCAGCACCTGCAGAGGGACCCAAGAAAATATCAAGTGCAACATTAGTTGATTCAGATTTGCCATTCAGAAGATCTTCATCAACATTGATGAAGCGTCTGAACTCTTCAGCCTCTGAAATCACAAGACATGTTTGCATTGCATTTCAAGGGTTTTTAGGGAGTTTACACAAATCTGAGTCAATCACTTCTGACTCTGTGAGTTTGTTTGCTCTTTTTCATCTGTTCAGAGATGTGAGAAGCAAACTGACTGAAGTTTTCACTTTGCTCAACATGTCTGATAAATCAGAGATCAGCAGCACAACAAACAAAACTGAAAAACATACAATGTGGACCAAATCAACCAGGTCAACAACACCTGTGAGTATACCTGCCAGTGTATGTTCCTCTGCTGCGTCAGAGAGATACACCAACCAAGAGAACGTT